CGCGAGTGCGCATGCGCGCGCCGCCGCCGTCCAGGTCTCAGCGTCCGCTGGATTGCATGGATCGGTGCTCCGCGCGGAGCCACTCACCGCCGTGATCCCTGACATTGCCCCCCCCCCACGGGCATCCTCCAGATGCCCAACCGATCTCTCCTCCGTGGGTGGCTACGATAGAACTCCCGGACCAGTCTAGGGGCGTGAACATTTTGGCCCGGTTCCCACTAATTCTCTTCAGGGCCATAGCCCTTCCACTTAATTAGGAACTGTGTCTGACTGCCTCTTTTCCTGCAATCGATGATTGCCTCAACCTCAAATTCTTCTTGTTCGTTGATGGTTATAGGTAGAGATGAGCGAATGATTCAAAAATTTGATTCGGCTGATTCGCCGAATTCGCGGAATAAATTTGATTTGAGTCGAATATATTCGCTGCGAATTTAACTTATAAAAAGGGTGTTTCTAGGCTTCAGAGAGCCTTTATATTAGTGCAGAACACTGTACCTTTAATTTAAATGCCCTTGGAGTCTGCTGGGGAAGAGAAATAATACTGTCAGTCAGTATGACATGCAGATGAGTGCCGTCGATCTTAGAATCACCGCACACTTCACTCATTTGGGCAGTCACGGGGCCAAAACCAGAGTGTGGAGCCACAGTGTGGCGGTGGAGGCAGCAGCAGCAATGGGAGGCCATACAGCACCCTATGACAAAATGGAACCCACCAGCAGTGTGAGGAGACCTGAAAGTGGCACATGGCAGAGTGTGGCGATGGAGACAGCAGCAATGGGAGGCCGTACAGGGACCCATGACACACTCTGGACCTGGCAGAAGCATGAGGAGGCGATACAGGGGCCCATGACAGATTACGGGCCTGGCAGCAGCATGAGGAGTCGGTACGGGGGCCCATGGCAGATTACGGGCCTGGCAGCAGCATGAGGAGGCGGTACAGGGGCCCATGGCAGAGTGGCGGAGCGTAAGCAGCTAAAATTGAAGGCCATACAGAGGCCTATGTTAAAAAGTCCCCCCAGCAGCAGCGTGGGGAGACGACTATCAAGAGTCCAATGGCAGAGTGGCGGAGCAGAAGCAGCTTCAATTGAAGGCCATACACAGGCCTAGGTTAAAAAGCGGAAGCCGTCAGCAGCGTGAGCAGATGACAGAGACACATGGCGCAGGGTGGCGGTGGATGCAGCAGTATTCGGAAGCCAAACACAGGCCTCGGTTAAAAAGCGGAAGCCGTCAGCAGCGTGAGCAGACGACAGAGGCACATGGCGCAGGGTGGCGGTGGAGGCAGCAGCAATGGAAGGCCATACAGCACCCTATCACAAAATGGAACCCACCAACAGTGTAAGGAGACCTGAAAGTGGCACATGGCGCAGGGTGGCGGTGGAGGCAGCAGTATTAGGAAGACATACACAGGACTAGTTTAAAAAGCGGAAGCCGTCAGCAGCGTGAGCAGACGACAGAGGCACATGGCGCAGGGTGGCGGTGGAGGCAGCAGTATTCGGAAGCCATACACAGGCCTAGGTTAAAAAAGCGGAAGCCGTCAGCAGCGTGAGCAGACGACAGAGGCACATGGCGCAGGGTGGCGGTGGAGGCAGCAGTATTCGGAAGCCATACACAGGCCTAGGTTAAAAAGCGGAAGCCGTCAGCAGCGTGAGCAGACAACAGAGACACATGGCGCAGGGTGGCGGTGGATGCAGCAGTATTCGGAAGCCAAACACAGGCCTCGGTTAAAAAGCGGAAGCCGTCAGCAGCGTGAGCAGACGACAGAGGCACATGGCGCAGGGTGGGCGGTGGAGGCAGCAGCAATGGAAGGCCATACAGCACCCTATCACAAAATGGAACCCACCCAACAGTGTAAGGAGACCTGAAAGTGGCACATGGCAGAGTCTGGCGATGAAGTCAGCAGCAATGGGAGGCCATACAGGGACCCATGACACACTCTGGACCTGGCAGCAGCATGAGGAGGCGGTACAGGGGCCCATGACAGATTACGGGCCTGGCAGCAGCATGAGGAGTCGGTACGGGGGCCCATGGCAGATTACAGGCCTGGCAGCAGCATGAGGAGGCGGTACAGGGGCCCATGGCAGAGTGGCGGAGCGTAAGCAGCTAAAATTGAAGGCCATACAGAGGCCTATGTTAAAAAGTCCCCCCAGCAGCAGCGTGGGGAGACGACTATCAAGAGTCCAATGGCTGAGTGGCGATCCGGGAAGTCAGCGTTGTGATTGCAGATGCAATGCAGAAATTTTATGAGGTAATGCCGTGGGTGCGAAGAAGATCATATACCGTCGTACTTCCATCCATAAGACCTATGTAGTCAGTTGGTCTCTGCCTTTCTGCGCCAACGTCCATCCTCAGACACTGTGGGCCCTGTGCGCTCGCGTTCCGCTGCCATGGCAGCAGGGGAGGGGTGGGGTGGTAGGAGCAGTGGCAGCTCCACCAGCAGCGGCTGCCTCAGTCTGCAGTCGATGATGAGTAGCTTTCTTCACCAGCGCAGTGAGGAAACTACTAACCAGCCGCAGCAGCAGCAGCATCAGGTGGACCTGGAGCAGGACCTCAAAACAACAGGGCTTGGGCCTACTTGGACAGCACCCTGCCAACCGAAGTAGACAATCCCCTTGACTACTGGGCAACGAAACTTGACCTTTGGCCCCAACTAGCTGAATTTGCCCTTGAAAGGCTGTCATGCCCGGCCAGTAGCGTGGCATCGGAGCGCGTGTTTAGTGCGGCAGGAGGTATTGTAACTCCGCGGAGGACACGACTGTCCCACCCAAAGTGTGGAGAGACTCACGTTTGTGAAAATGAATCAGGCGTGGATTAGTCTGGATTTCAAACCACCAGTTCCTGACACAACTGACTAAATCCGCCATGAATCATGCCCCAAACATGTTATTAGGGACAAATGGAAGACCTCCACCTGATCCGTACATTTGTATATATATTTTATTGAGAGGCTGCTGGTCGGCCGACTCATGTTTTGCACATTTTTAATGACTTATACTCTGCAGGTCGGGCCCCTCATGAATTGGGGTTTTTAAATTATTTATACTTCGCTGGACGACCGTCACATGAATTGAACCTTTTTAATGACTTATACTCTGCTGGTCGGGCCCCTCATGAATTGGTGTTTTTAAATTATTTATACGTCGCTGGACGACTGTCACATGAATTTAAACTTTTTAATTATTTATAGTCGACCAGTTCCAGACCGATGGAATAGCAATTTTTTTAAATATTTATTTGACACGTGTTGTCCATCTCATCAATGAGGTGGGACTGTTTATTTATTGGCCACGGTTTGGCCCCCTCCTGTTTCTTACATTGTTAACTTGTTGTATCGGTCACGGTTTGTGGCCAAACATCGGCCTATAAATAGATGTCTACACAGTGACAAAAAATTATGTCGCCAGACAGCGGCCCCTAAGGCGACAGATATACAAAGCAATTCCCGAGGTGTTCAGTGAGCGGCTTGAACGGCTAGGTTATTACTAAATATATCTTTCTGGCCAAACATCGGCCTATAAATAGATGTCTACACAGTGACAAAAAAGTAGGTCGCTTTACAGCGGCGTATCCTACAAATTGACATTATAAGAAATGGTTTAGACCAAAAAAAAAAAAAAAAAAAAAAACTTTGATGCGATGCTATACCTTAGTAGATTGTGGAAAGTCGACAAGTCAAGCGTAACTGTGTACATTACAGAAAATCTTAACAAGACAACCAAACATGTGGCCAAACCGTGACCGATACAACAAGTTAACAATGTAAGAAACAGGAGGGGGCCAAACCGTGGCCAATAAATAAACAGTCCACCTCATTGATGAGATGGACAACACGTGTCAAATAAATATTTAAAAAAATTGCTATTCCATCGGTCTGGAACTGGTCGACTATAAATAATTAAAAAGTTTAAATTCATGTGACAGTCGTCCAGCGACGTATAAATAATTTAAAAAAAACACCAATTCATGAGGGGCCCGACCAGCAGAGTATAAGTCATTAAAAAGGTTCAATTCATGTGATGTGACGGTCGTCCAGCGAAGTATAAATAATTTAAAAACCCCAATTCATGAGGGGCCCGACCTGCAGAGTATAAGTCATTAAAAATGTGCAAAACATGAGTCGGCCGACCAGCAGCCTCTCAATAAAATATATATACAAATGTACGGATCAGGTGGAGGTCTTCCATTTGTCCCTAATAACATGTTTGGGGCATGATTCATGGCGGATTTAGTCAGTTGTGTCAGGAACTGGTGGTTGGAAATCCAGACTAATCCACGCCTGATTCATTTTCACAAACGTGAGTCTCTCCACACTTTGGGTGGACAGTCGTGTCCTCCGCGGAGTTACAATACCTACCTCCTGCCGCACTAAACACGCGCTCCGATGCCACGCTACTGGCCGGGCATGACAGCCTTTCAAGGGCAAATTCAGCTAGTTGGGGCCAAAGGTCAAGTTTCGTTGCCCAGTAGTCAAGGGGATTGTCTACCTCGGTTGGCAGGGTGCTGTCCAAGTAGGCCCAAGCCTGTTGTTTGAGGTCCTGCTCCAGGTCCACCTGATGCTGCTGCTGCTGCGGCTGGTTAGTAGTTTCCTCACTGCGCTGGTGATGAAAGCTACTCATCATCGACTGCAGACTGAGGCAGCCGCTGCTGGTGGAGCTGCCACTGCTCCTACCACCCCACCCCTCCCCTGCTGCCATGGCAGCGGAACGCGAGCGCACAGGGCCCACAGTGTCTGAGGATGGACGTTTGGCGCAGAAAGGCAGAGACCAACTGACTACATAGGTCTTATGGATGGAAGTACGACGGTATATGATCTTCTTCGCACCCACGGCATTACCTCATAAAATTTCTGCATTGCATCTGCAATCACAACGCTGACTTCCCGGATCGCCACTCAGCCATTGGACTCTTGATAGTCGTCTCCCCACGCTGCTGCTGGGGGGACTTTTTAACATAGGCCTCTGTATGGCCTTCAATTTTAGCTGCTTACGCTCCGCCACTCTGCCATGGGCCCCTGTACCGCCTCCTCATGCTGCTGCCAGGCCCGTAATCTGCCATGGGCCCCTGTACCGACTCCTCATGCTGCTGCCAGGCCCGTAATCTGTCATGGGCCCCTGTACCGCCTCCTCATGCTGCTGCCAGGTCCAGAGTGTGTCATGGGTCCCTGTACGGCCTCCCATTGCTGCTGACTTCATCGCCAGACTCTGCCATGTGCCACTTTCAGGTCTCCTTACACTGTTGGTGGGTTCCATTTTGTGATAGGGTGCTGTATGGCCTTCCATTGCTGCTGCCTCCACCGCCACCCTGCGCCATGTGCCTCTGTCGTCTGCTCACGCTGCTGACGGCTTCCACTTTTTAACCGAGGCCTGTGTTTGGCTTCCGAATACTGCTGCATCCACCGCCACCCTGCGCCATGTGCCTCTGTCGTCTGCTCACGCTGCTGACGGCTCCGCTTTTTAACCGAGGCCTGTGTTTGGCTTCCGAATACTGCTGCCTCCACCGCCACCCTGCGCCATGTGCCTCTGTCGTCTGCTCACGCTGCTGACGGCTTCCGCTTTTTAACCTAGGCCTGTGTATGGCTTCCGAATACTGCTGCCTCCACCGCCACCCTGCGCCCATGTGCTCTCTGTCGTCTGCTCACGCTGCTGACGGCTTCCGCTTTTTAACCTAGGCCTGTGTATGGCTTCCGAATACTGCTGCCTCCACCGCCACCCTGCGCCATGTGCCTCTGTCGTCTGCTCACGCTGCTGACGGCTTCCGCTTTTTAACCTAGTCCTGTGTATGGCTTCCGAATACTGCTGCCTCCACCGCCACCCTGCGCCATGTGCCACTTTCAGTCTGCTCACGCTGTTGGTGGGTTCCATTTTGTGATAGGGTGCTGTATGGCCTTCCATTGCTGCTGCCTCCACCGCCACCCTGCGCCATGTGCCTCTGTCGTCTGCTCACGCTGCTGACGGCTTCCGCTTTTTAACCGAGGCCTGTGTTTGGCTTCCGAATACTGCTGCATCCACCGCCACCCTGCGCCATGTGTCTCTGTCGTCTGCTCACGCTGCTGACGGCTTCCGCTTTTTAACCTAGGCCTGTGTATGGCTTCCGAATACTGCTGCCTCCACCGCCACCCTGCGCCATGTGCCACTTGTCTCTTACACTGTTGGTGGGTTCCATTTTGTGAACCTAGGCCTGCTGTATGGCCTTCCATTGCTGCTGCCTCCACCGCCACCCTGCGCCATGTGCCTCTGTCGTCTGCTCACGCTGCTGACGGCTTCCGCTTTTTAACCGAGGCCTGTGTTTGGCTTCCGAATACTGCTGCATCCACCGCCACCCTGCGCCATGTGTCTCTGTCGTCTGCTCACGCTGCTGACGGCTTCCGCTTTTTAACCTAGGCCTGTGTATGGCTTCCGAATACTGCTGCCTCCACCGCCACCCTGCGCCATGTGCCTCTGTCGTCTGCTCACGCTGCTGACGGCTTCCGCTTTTTAACCTAGGCCTGTGTATGGCTTCCGAATACTGCTGCCTCCACCGCCACCCTGCGCCATGTGCCACTTTCAGGTCTCTTACACGTTGGTGGGTTCCATTTTTAACCTATAGGGTGTGTATGGCCTTCCATTACTGCTGCCTCCACCGCCACCCTGCGCCATGTGCCTCTGTCGTCTGCTCACGCTGCTGACGGCTTCCGCTTTTTAACCGAGGCCTGTGTTTGGCTTCCGAATACTGCTGCATCCACCGCCACCCTGCGCCATGTGTCTCTGTCGTCTGCTCACGCTGCTGACGGCTTCCGCTTTTTAACCTAGGCCTGTGTATGGCTTCCGAATACTGCTGCCTCCACCGCCACCCTGCGCCATGTGCCTCTGTCGTCTGCTCACGCTGCTGACGGCTTCCGCTTTTTAAACTAGGCCTGTGTATGGGCTTCCGAATACTGCTGCCTCCACCGCCACCCTGCGCCATGTGCCACTTTCAGGTCTTCTTACACTGTTGGTGGGCTTCCATTTTGTGAGGGTGTGTATGGCCTTCCATTGCTGCTGCCTCCACCGCCACCCTGCGCCATGTGCCTCTGTCGTCTGCTCACGCTGCTGACGGCTTCCGCTTTTTAACCGAGGCCTGTGTTTGGCTTCCGAATACTGCTGCATCCACCGCCACCCTGCGCCATGTGTCTCTGTCGTCTGCTCACGCTGCTGACGGCTTCCGCTTTTTAACCGAGGCCTGTGTATGGCTTCCGAATACTGCTGCCTCCACCGCCACCCTGCGCCATGTGCCTCTGTCGTCTGCTCACGCTGCTGACGGCTTCCGCTTTTTAAACCTAGGCCTGTGTATGGCTTCCGAATACTGCTGCCTCCACCGCCACCCTGCGCCATGTGCCACTTTCAGGTCTCCTTACACTGTTGGTGGGCTCCATTTTTGATAGGGTGCTGTATGGCCTTCCATTGCTGCTGCCTCCACCGCCACCTGCGCCATGTGCCTCTGTCGTCTGCTCACGCTGCTGACGGCTTCCGCTTTTTAACCGAGGCCTGTGTTTGGCTTCCGAATACTGCTGCATCCACCGCCACCCTGCGCCATGTGCCTCTGTCGTCTGCTCACGCTGCTGACGGCTTCCGCTTTTTAACCTAGGCCTGTGTATGGCTTCCGAATACTGCTGCCTCCACCGCCACCCTGCGCCATGTGCCTCTGTCGTCTGCTCACGCTGCTGACGGCTTCCGCTTTTTAACCTAGGCCTGTGTATGGCTTCCGAATACTGCTGCCTCCACCGCCACCCTGCGCCATGTGCCTCTGTCGTCTGCTCACGCTGCTGACGGCTTCCGCTTTTTAAACTAGGCCTGTGTATGGCTTCCGAATACTGCTGCCTCCACCGCCACCCTGCGCCATGTGCCACTTTCAGGTCTCCTTACACTGTTGGTGGGCTTCCATTTTTGATAGGGCCTGTGTATGGCTTCCATTGCTGCTGCCTCCACCGCCACCCTGCGCCATGTGCCTCTGTCGTCTGCTCACGCTGCTGACGGCTTCCGCTTTTTAAACCGAGGCCTGTGTTTGGCTTCCGAATACTGCTGCATCCACCGCCACCCTGCGCCATGTGTCTCTGTCGTCTGCTCACGCTGCTGACGGCTTCCGCTTTTTAAACTAGGCCTGTGTATGGCTTCCGAATACTGCTGCCTCCACCGCCACCCTGCGCCATGTGCCTCTGTCGTCTGCTCACGCTGCTGACGGCTTCCGCTTTTTAACCGAGGCCTGTGTATGGCTTCCGAATACTGCTGCCTCCACCGCCACCCTGCGCCATGTGCCTCTGTCGTCTGCTCACGCTGCTGACGGCTTCCGCTTTTTAAAACTAGTCCTGTGTATGTCTTCCGAATACTGCTGCCTCCACCGCCACCCTGCGCCATGTGCCACTTTCAGGTCTCCTTACACTGTTGGGGGGGTTCCATTTTGTGATAGGGTGCTGTATGGCTTCCATTGCTGCTGCCTCCACCGCCACCCTGCGCCATGTGCCTCTGTCGTCTGCTCACGCTGCTGACGGCTTCCGCTTTTTAACCGAGGCCTGTGTTTGGCTTCCGAATACTGCTGCATCCACCGCCACCCTGCGCCATGTGTCTCTGTCGTCTGCTCACGCTGCTGACGGCTTCCGCTTTTTAACCTAGGCCTGTGTTGGCTTCCGAATACTGCTGCATCCACCGCCACCCTGCGCCATGTGTCTCTGTCGTCTGCTCACGCTGCTGACGGCTTCCGCTTTTTAACCTAGGCCTGTGTATGGCCTTCAATGTAATCTGTCATGGGCCCCTGTACCGCCTCCTCATGCTGCTGCCAGGTCCAGAGTGTGTCATGGGTCCCTGTACGGCCTCCCATTGCTGCTGTCTCCATCGCCACACTCTGCCATGTGCCACTTTCAGGTCTCCTCACACTGCTGGTGGGTTCCATTTTGTCATAGGGTGCTGTATGGCCTCCATTGCTGCTGCCTCCACCGCCACACTGTGGCTCCACACTCTGGTTTTGGCCCCGTGACTGCCCAAATGAGTGAAGTGTGCGGTGATTCTAAGATCGACGGCACTCATCTGCATGTCATACTGACTGACAGTATTATTTCTCTTCCCCAGCAGACTCCAAGGGCATTTAAATTAAAGGTACAGTGTTCTGCACTAATATAAAGGCTCTCTGAAGCCTAGAAAACACCCTTTTTATAAGTTAAATTCGCAGCGAATATATTCGACTCGAATCAAATTTATTCCGCAAATTCGGCGAATCAGCCGAATCGAATTTTTGAATAATTCGCTCATCATCTCTACTCAATATCATCCAGGACTATGGCGATCTACTAACACTCCCTCTTTGTCCCGACTACTGTCCGATCTTAACTTCCTATGTGAAATGGAGAGGAGAACAGCCCTCCATAACTTTACTCAATATCAACAAATTTGAGACTCAATGGACCCGATGGTTACACAACCCCAACTGTTCAATAAAATGATTATATAATATTCGACCACCACTACACGATTATGACATTCTAGGTGCCTCTACCCCCTCCACCCCCCCCCCCTCTTTTCCCTTCCTAATCTCTCCTTTAATGTTCATACCACAATTCAATAAGGCTGCACTAAATTGAGCATACCTCTCATGTAGCTGAACCGATGATTTTGCAAGGTACTTCGGCCGGATGGGGGGCGAGGTACCACTACCCCATTTTACTTTACCTTATACAAGATTTTGTATTAAATGTGCACCTCTCTATACTAATG